TTTACTGTAAGGAAATACACGTTAGTAGGAAGAGTGTTACACACTGCACACAACACTGCACAGTGCACACAACTCATCAGCTTGTATAACGATATCACAGTGAAGTCACAGTTAAGTCACAATGTAGTCACAGTTTAGTCCACAGTGTTAGTCTCAGTGAAGTCACAGTAAAGTCACAATTCTAGTCACAGTGTAGTCACAGTGTAGTGCACAGTGTAGTCACAGTGTAGTCACAATGTAGTCACAGTGTAGTCACAAGTAGTCACAGTGTAGTCACAATGTAGTCACAGTGTAGTCACAATGTAGTACAGTGTAGTCACAATGTAGTCACAAGTAGTCACAGTGTATTTCCAAATGTAGTCACAATGTAGTCAAATGTAGTACAGTGTAGTCACAAGGGTAGTCACAATGTAGTTAGGGTGTAGTCACATGTAGTCACAGTGTAGTCACATGTAGTCACGTGTAGTCAAAATGTAGTACAGTGTAGTCAAATTTTGTAGTGTAGTACAGTGTAGTCACAGTGTAGTCAAATTGAAAGTCACTGTGTAGTCCAGTGTAGTCACAAGTTATCACAATGTAGTCACGGGTGTAGTGCAGTGTAGTCAAATTTGTAGTCACAATGTAGTCAAAATGTGTCACGTTGTAGTCACAATGAGTCCAATGTAGTTAGAGTGTGTCAAAATGTAGGTAACAATTTAGTCACAATGCAGCTAGATTGTAGTCCCAATGTAAACACAATGTAGTTTGCAGTGTAGTAGTCAGTGAACCAAAATATAACGATGACGAAAATAGTATTGATTCTGTGAACAGTTTGCAGTTGCTAGGAGACCACGACAAGGAATGAACTCTTAAGATATAAATATATAATAGGCTTCAAACCATTTTGTAAAATCGTTCACAAATCCACTCACCACTAACATGATCGCGTGATAACATCCTATATTAATGCACATATTGTTATGAAAGTGTTGCAATTGATTGCATTTGGTGTTGTCTGATATCTGGTTCTAGGTAGGAGGTAATAGTCTTTTATGGATTGTGTGTCAGTGTTGGTTAACTGCCACAATATACTTCCTAGTCATGTTCTCTATTTTGGGCCACTATTTTACAGAAGAGATCACAATGTTTTGCCATATCCGTGTCTCACAATCTATCTATCAAAAAATAGACTATTTTAACTATTTTATGTTTTAAATGTATTTAGCACACAGCTGTGCTAAACTATCCACCATTTCCCGGCAGGTATCCCATCAGTGTACCAGCTAGTAATATCATGTTCCACCACTCTCACTCACTCACATACGAGTACAGAACACTTGTATATACGCCCATATACTTATTACTTATACATCCTATTTCTCAATTCTCCTCTTCAGGTATCCCATCAGTTCTCCTTAAACGGTAACCCAGCAGATCCTAACTGCCATGGAATCCAAGGTATTCTGGGCGCATACCACCAGTGTATTAACAGTGTTCAGTTGTAGCGGTCCTACAAACGCCAGCCCTATAATTGGAAATGTAGCCACCATGGCTCGGGAGGTGAGTTATTTATATTGAAACATTTTATCAAGTTTTTAAAGAGGTTTTGAGAATTTTCTCAAAATTAAACTTAAAATAAAAAATGTTGATTAATACGGCATGTTAACATAGTAATACGGTATCATTCCTCTCAGGCACTCCATCAACGACAAGCTAAAGACTATTTTATCTTGCTACTATTAACGGACGGTATCCTAACCGATATGCAACAAACCATTCACATGATCATCGGTGAGTCCTTTAAACCAACAACCTGGGCTTTTCATACCGGCATAATATTTCGTTTGACATAATATTCACTATTCAGTTGTCCCGGCTTAAAACATCATTGTTGGGACTAAGCTATCCATTATCAGTATGAAATCTTTTATCTAGATAAACTGATAAATTAAAAAAAAGGAATTATCAGTTCCTATTATCGGACAGTATTGTTTAATGTCTGTGAACACAATACCTGGCCTCACCAGAACTCGGTAGAACAATATTGTTAGCTTTCTTCTTCAAATGTCACTACACGATGTTCATTAGTTTGATATTCTGTTTTGTGTGATGTTACCAAATATTATATATCGATCAAACTTTTCTGACGTTTTCAAAAGTCCCTGATAACTGTTATCAGAGGCAAGTGAACTACCCTTGAGGTATCATTATTGTGGGCGTTGGAGACGCTGACTTTTCTGATATGGAGCGACTTGATGCTGACGATAAATTGTGAGTTAATAATAATTTCCTCAGAATTTCTTTCTTTTACCAGCTATGAATTCGATTACTTGTTTGCTGCAATATATCTGAGGCTGAGTTAGGGAATACGACTAATTGGGTTTTATCAGGTTATCCCTCGGCAATCGCAAAGCAAAGAGAGACATTGTTCAATTTGTTCCCTTCAGAGATTTCAAGAATGTAAGTACACATATTATAGATTTCACCACTTTCCAACTTCTCTTTCTCTTTGTCCTCCACATTAAAATGTATTAAGAGGGAGAACTTAGTGTGACATTATGTTATGTTTTGTCATGGCTCCAACACATTTTAACAACACCTTAACAACACATTAACAACACCTTAACAACACCTTAGCAACACCTTAACAACACCTTAGCAACACCTTAGCAACACCTTAGCAACATCTTAACAACACCTTAACAAACTGGTCACCGGAGCACTGAGTAGAACTTTAACTATCCACTTTTAAACGACCAACTCAAATAATACGATAATATAATACGACCATTTTGTGACTTACCTTTTCTAGGCATCACCTGCTAAACTTGCTTCACATGTCCTGAAAGAGCTCCCTACTCAAGTGTGTGAAATGTACAATAACATTCTCCATGTTCCGCCCTTGTACCGAGCCCGACTATGGGCCTCCTCCAACTTAAACTGATTTCTACGGAACTGATTAATGAATTGGATAAGATCGCACCGTTTTGTTTTAATGAAATTGTTTTCTGAAAGATCACCTATATATTATAACTTTATCGCATTACTTCATTAATTAGATAAGCGTCTCGAGAAGAAGGGTCGACGAAATACGAGTAAAATTAGATTGCGTTTCCTGGATCCTATTTTCTATTCTCTTGCTTTCTGTATTGTTTAGTTTATACCGGACTATCATTAACAGTCTATTTTACCAACTTTATTAATGCTGGAACAAGACCTTCTAGCTTATTAGTGAAAGAGCAGAGTAAATACAAATTTTCGACAAAATGGTTTGCTGACCAGGACTAGATATAATATTTGGGTGAGACTGAAATGTTTTTAGTAACTCTGAAAGCTGAACAGATTTATAACTTTTCAGGGTGGAGCTGGCAGACTAGCTGCTCATGTCCTGAAAGAGGTTCCGACTCAACTTATGGACATGTATAATGATATTCTGAAGGTTCCACCCATGTACCAACCATTTTACGGACCCCCCACTTGATAAGGCTCTGCTCTTTCACTCCTGATACACAATATTATGTAGTACTTGTTTAGTTCATTTTTAAATATTGATTGTATTGTTATCCCAACCGTATCTAGATTAATTGTATTATTCGATATTTTGAAATATTGACCATTTCCTTTAAAAAAAGGAAACTAAACATTTTATATTATGGGTTTTACGTTTCTAGGTGTTAATTGCTGTTCCATTATGAATTCTCATAGACTCGTAAAGTTAATTGAACTACATAGTTCAATTGTACTTACATAGATTGAAGAATTTGCGCTATGAATAGCAATAAGCATTTCTGGGTACCAAGGTCAGCTCTAACTACTCATCAGTAAAACTTTGGACGGGTTATTGATCATCTGATATCTTAAATAATAATTCAGAATTACGGAATTATTTCATATTATATATATAATCAATCGCTGAATCAGACATGATAGGATAGTTGATAGTGTAATTTGTAGTGATCCTTGGGCTAGATACAATTTAGAACACTAATTTACACTATAGGTTAGCTAAGAACTTTTATACTTAGTGCAATATACATAGTAATACTAATATACAAATTTGATGAATATGTGTTATTAGAAATATGTATTATAAAGTTTCTATGATGTTATTGGATTCTCTACTTTGACCCCGCAATGTGTCGAATTTTGAATGTGAATATCAAAACATCCTCAAATAAAGTTTCTTTGATTAGTGAAATTGATTAGAAAAATTGTCTCAAAAATTCTTGTCAAATTTTTCTTTTTTAAACAGATAATTATATCAAACTGACAATCCTTAAGTAGATGAATTAGAAGAAGAACGTATTTCCTTGGATTGCTCAGTGGAGTGATCACTTGTAAGAAGATGTTACCAAGACAACATGGCTGTTCAAGTAAAGACACTAAAAGAAATCGTTTTAGCTTACGTGTGTAGGAATATTGACATTCTTTTCATAAAAGAGTGAGTGAGAAAAATAAAACAATGCTATTTTAAATATCTTTTTAATTTCTGATTCACAGTATTTAAAATTTATCCGATGTAATTTAATAACCCACGAATCGATTTATCTGGATCAATCTTTAACGCAACATTTTTTCAGATTGTACAAGATTTCCAGATACCTCCGTGAAAATGACTGTGATGACGTCACGGAGTATTTTATAGATAATCAGGTACTTCCTACTTAGCAATTTAAATCGTACATGTGAAGAATATACATACCTTACTGCATACTATTACAACTTTACAAGGAGAGTATCTTTGGTTTTTTTCGAGCCCCCTCCTCGAGCCATCTCCTTATTTTCGTAAAAGAGATAAGAAATACTTTACCATGCATTGCTTATTTATGCAATGTACATTGTACATTGTGCAACGTACGTACTACATTACAGTTAAATGTACGAAAGCATGTGCTTCAAACCGTTAAATATTTCAAGTAATACCATGTATTGCTCGATATAAAGAAGATACATTGTAAATCAGGGTTGAAAGGATAAAGATTTCGTCGTTATCAACGTTTGATACGCCCTTTTACAATTATATGTAGTAATCGTCACTTTTTAGGAATTAAACGAAGAAATTTTGAAAGAGACGGCAGGTTCGTCGAACCATGCAATCAAAGTCTTGAGAGCCTTCCTAAAGTCACAGGGACTTCCCAAGGTTAGATATAATTGGCAGTGGGCACCCCCCCCCCCCCCCCCCCCCCCCAAACCAATTTTAACTGATTTACAAGGAAATTCTCTTGAAATTATAAGAAATAATTCGTAAAACAATCACAAAGCCTTAAGCAGGTTATACATGTATATTGTATATTATGTATTTTCAACTCGGATATAATGCATTACAAGTATTATAATATTTCTTGATATATCTACTCAGATTGTATGGAGAGAGTCTGACCAAAAGAATGACAGGATATCAGTTGGGCTCAGTATAAACGATATCTCTGTCAAGGTGGATGAGGAGAGGAAGCCTAGGGCAAGGTATCTAGCTGCTAAGGTATGTGTAAATTGTGGATTAGAATTTATTTTTACTGACAATTTAATCAATTATTATGTCATTAAATTAAGTTACCTCATGAAAATTTCGTACATTTCGTACAGTGCTGCGATTCTCAGTATAATATAAACACAAAGAACCTTTTCTGTCGACTATAAAATAGTGCACTACTGAGTGTTAGTTTTATTTCTGCATGACCGTGTTCAGTTATCATGATTAGTAGCAATGCCTCCATCTGCAATATTTACGTCATAAGTGTTTCTCTTTTTCAGTTAATGTTAAGAAAGCTATTGTCCAAATACATCTCCGATCCTATCCTCAACAAATACAACCAACACGAAAAGGTTACATTTTACACATTACTAAGTTCTGGAGGTTGGAATTTTTAAAAACTTTTCAGTTTTTATTTAATACGAGAAACTATTTTGTTGTATTTCACTTCTAATAGCCTACTCACACAACTGATTTCCTCTCAGACCTACAGAAGAGCTCCAGTTTATGACTCTCACTCCTACCTCACCGGCAAATCAGTCCCAGCGTGCACGGTTAACTCTGTAGACGAGCTCCAGGGCTATGGTGAGTGTTAGGTTATTTACTTTCCTGTGTGACGTCATACCACGTGACATGACGCGTAGTGTGACATCATATCACGTGACATACCGCGTAGTGTGACGTCATAACACGTGGTACAATGTCATGTCACGTGGTATGACGAGCCTCAGCTCAGGGCTATGGTGAGTGTTATTTACTTTTCTGTCTGTTGAAGAGGAGAAAGCCCCTCTCATCCTCTTAGCTGGCAGTTTCGTAAATACTCAGTATTGTCATGGGGGTAACCGCCCTGGGGTCTAATTATTAGCTAGAGGCCCTGTTCACTGATATGGTACTTGCCAAGTGCCAATATCACACCCGATACTTCAGGCTCCAATAGAAGATAATATGTCTAAGGACTATAATGAACCTATTACATTACATCTGACTCGGACTAACTTATTCGACTGTTACTGACAATTGCCTAAATTCTGGCTAAAGGACCACTGTCTGCGCTAAAAAGATTAAACAGATACTAAGTATTACAATTAAACGGAGAAGTTTAAAGTTTGCTTTCAGATTTCACAGAGGAAGAGAGGTGGGAGATACTGAAGAACATTTCAGAACATCGGCTGAGAAGATCCCACTACATGCTCGTTCTACATCCCAGCTGTCGGGAACTGGATTTCAGTTTCTGTCCTGCCGCTTTCTCACCGACCTTCTTAGAACTCATCTTCAAGAAGGCTAAGGATGTCGAAACTGTTAATCTGAACAATTGTTATAAAACGGTGAACAGTTCGTTGTGTGTGGAGACTATTGTCAAAAAATGTTGCAACCTAAGGAGTCTGAGCGTTAACAAGTTAGTTTTTATGATTTATTTTCATGGTCAGTATTTTGGAAGTTAAATGACATAGTAATAATTCTTGATTTTTTAATTTCGTAATAATGACTTACTACCTTAGTTGTGAATTTGTGCGTTCGGAGAAGATCTTCGAGAACCTACGAAAGTACAAAGTTGATCTGGAAAAATTAAACATTTCCAAGACTATGAAAGCAAACGTCTCGGGGTCTCTTCAGTTTCAGAAGTATTTTAAAAGTCAACTTGGAAGGCGGTTGCGTGTTTTGGATATATCAGGTTTTTGAAAAGTTACTTTTTATGGAAGATTTAAAATTATTTGATTACAAAGTTGAAATATTGCCAATTTCATCCCTCATATTCTCAGAATTAAATGCTACTAAATGGATCAAGGTTTTTTTGTTTTTAAATATAGGTAGCAGGAAACTCTACTTCTATTGGAGTAATTATTAACGCTCCAAGTGGCAATGCTGAGCAAGCTCTCCAAGGAATGGTCGTCAATACTGATAAAGCACCAAACATACACACATTGCAGGTGATGGATTTTTTAACATTAATTCTCCATTAGTAACCTCAGTAGCATTATGCACAGTATGAAGATGTCCTATTTGTAGTGGCTTCTTTTTCCATTGATATCATAGCAATTCATGAAAGCCTGGATGTAATGCCTCGTGCATCGACACTCATTACAAGATGACCTAGACTCTGTTACTGCCTATGGAGTCATACTGTTACACATATCTCATCACCTCCCTATATTGACAATATTTGGGGGTACCCCCTGTGGGGGGGACAAAAAAAATTAGCCAAGACCAAAAATATTCACAAGCACACCCCAATTAACTATGCTATTGTAAATCAATACACTGATCATTTGCTGAAGTCTGGGGTAACCAAACCTAGGGACAAGAACCAATTTAGTTTTTTACTAACATTTCTATGATATCCTTAAAAACAGCATTCGGACGAAACCTGCAAACTAGCTGTACCAAAAACCACTAAGCGCTATGCAAGGAAACAACCATGGATTTACTGGCGGGGATTATAGCCTCAGTAAACACTGCCATGGTGCTGTATGATGACTGGGCGAAAGTCAGCGAAAGTTAGTGTACAAGGCGAAAACTGATACAATAGGGGGACATGCGTGTGTTTTTCTATCTGCTGTAATAAAAGAAACGTTATGATGGACTAAAAAAGATATAGAAAGGCTCTAAAAAAGGTTCGTAAAAATGCTGTATCTGAATATTATTCTGTACAGTTTCTTGAAACTCAGGAAATTCCAAGAAAAACCTGGGAACTGATAAATAAAATTCGTGGCAACCGAATCGTGATAACAGACCTATATTTACCATAGACAATGACAAGATAACTGATCGCAGGTTATGCTTATGAATTCAATAAGTAATTTTGTATACCTAGCACCCTAACTTAATGCAGCCTACACAGAACTAGCGAGAGATACAAATAAATCAGCTTTCCAAGTTTCTGTGACTTCTTACCTAAATCGAATACAGCTAATATATATCTACAGGACTGCTCACCTGAGGAGGTGGCCTAAGATCATATCGGAACTTAGAATGGCAAGGCTAGCGACACTACCGTAATATAGTAAAGGCAGAATCGGCAAAATTAGCCCCACTCTATCGAGTATTGTACAACGAATGTATGCAACAGGGATTTTTATCCACGCCGCCCTAAAAGTAGGTAAAATAAGTCCATTGAATACTATAAGAAAGAAATTGCTGAGCTTCTTGGAAAATTACAGGCATATCTCAACCTTAGCAAATCGGTAAAAAATACTGGAAAAATCTATTTCTCCAGGCTTTACAGTTTCTGCAGTCGCTAGGATTATTATATGAAAATCAATATGGCTTTAGAAAAATCACTCGACAAGCCATGCACTCAACATTTCTGTCGACTACATTGAAAAAATCTTTTAAGAGATAAAATCACGTAATAGGCATCTCATTGATTTAAGTAAGCTTTTGAACAATCTATCATGATAAACTGCTTTAAAAACTGCAATGGATATGGAAATTATTCGAGGGACTGCTAAGAAATTGATAGCCATTTACCTTTCTAATAGCAGCAATATGTTTCAGGTACTGGAGAAGAATCCAAAAACTGTCTGTAATATTTGGTGTTCCTCAGGGGTCAGTATTAGGTCCCTTGCTTTTCATTATCTACTCAATGAAATATATAGAGTATCAGACCTAGGTAAGTTTATACTTTTTTGCCGGATGACACCAACATATTTGTTGTAGATAAATGCTATAAATTACACTTTACTGCAAAGCTAATAAAATTCTTAAATTGTTCAATCAGATATTTTTTTTGAAGAGTAACTTGCTGATATCAACTAAAGAATTGTTGCTATATCACTTTTAGCCGAAACTCCCCGTAGAATGAACCTGATTCAACACCAATGAATTAGAACTGACACTAAATAATATAGTATTTAAAAAAGGTGGAGGAAACTAGTTTCTTGGGTCATTATTGACCCAAAAATGAACGGGGATGTCTCACTTAGAGCGTTAACCGTAAGTGAAATGTGAGATAGGTAGACTATGTGGAATTAGACGCTGTGTACCTAAAAAACTATATAAGGCCTGTACCACACCCTTTATGAATCACACTATGTTATGGAATATCTGTTTGGGGAGGTGTATCAAATAATAATACTAGAAGCCATATTAAAAACACAAAAGAAATGATAAGATATTCTCTTTGGTGATAATGATGATGCATACTTCAATAAGTTCAAAACATGTGGCCAGAGTAAGGCCTTTCACTGGGGATAAGACGGTAAAGTTTTCAAGCAGATGTTAGGCAAAGATTTCTTTGAACTAGAAAACAGTTAAACCAATCTGTATCGTGTAGAACTTCCTGACTGTCACAATCTCAATAAGTTGCACTGTTTACTGGAAAATGTTCAAAATTAATAAGTTCCAATCACCAATCTCAATGGTTCTCTTTATTCAACAGGTCACCAAGACGAGACAACTATTCATCCCACCACTCCATCCTCACTATTCATCTATCAAATCAATAGTATTTGGAATCACTGGCCGTAAGTCAACAAGTGCAATAGACTTCTCCAATCCATCAGTATATTCAGGAATAATTTAAGAAAATCTTTGTTCGAACTAACAGTCTAAATATACGACACTTTTGGTGCAGTTACAACTTTGATGCAAATGAATTATCATTGAAAATAGGTTGATTAGTAAACATAATCACCATGAGTAAACACGGTGTTATTGCAAAAAACCATGACAGGGTTATCAGGACCTATATTGATCTAAGAGAACGACACAAAACGAATCTTCATACACAAAAATTTTAAAATCCTGCGGCACAGTATCCTGTTGTTTTCCTACTCTAACTCTCCCAACCCCTCTCTCCTTCTCCTCTTCGGTTTTTTCTTCAATTTTTTTAAATTAGATAGCAAATGTTATTTTCTTTTAAATGAAGTAATGGCTTTTATAAATTGATTGGTATCGTATGTATGTTGTTGTATGTGTTTGCTGGACTGGGTATATGCTATATAATTTGAGGCTCACGACGTCTCGTCCCATGGGTGGGTTGTAGGCTGAGTAATGTGTTCTCCTTACTTCGTATGGGAAAACATTGACAAGGTTTGCCTTAGCCTTTGGACGAGTGTTTGCCCACCGGGGATCCAAAAATATGATTATCATGGACTTTAATTTAACACATAAACTAATCCAGACTTGTATGATTACCAGAAAAATTTTACTAACTGCATTAGCTAGTGTATAGTAAATACACACGAACGCAGAATAGAGGAGCACAAATTGGGTTCTTGTTCTGCGACTGTGTTCCTCGGTGGGCCGACAGTTTTTTGGTTGGGTAGTTGTGCTGGGGAAAAAAAAATCACGCTTTAACTTTCAATGAGAGTACAAATTTTTAAATTCTTGACCTTAGTGCCACAGTTTCTGTGTAATAAAAACAAATTTATAGTTAAACGTTTATATTAATGTAGTAAGGCATGATTTACTCACATCACTAAGCTTAAAAACTCTTTAAATTTTTCATCCACACACTCAAAATTCACATCCTACTTTGTCAACTTAGATGGTAACAAAACCAACTTCGATTGTCTTAACGTTGAACTCAAACGAATTGAACTAAATTTCTCTGTAATTGGTA